AACTATTTCTCTTGTGTTCCAGTGGCAATCCCTCGGCATCCATCCACGCAGAGCTTCAAGCCAACCTGCTGCTTCTTCCTGCATCCTACCTGCCTGCTTGCTAACAGTCCAGCCTCTCACTGCCTACACTCCACATCCGGACCTCCATAATCCCAACTGCTGCAGTCTTCCGAAGCAATAACCATTTAAACATCTTCAGTCATTGCCTGCGCCTGGGTCCTGTTTAAACATAATCCTAACAGAACACATCTGGCCACCCACTGGACCAGCAGGCGGACCCAATTCCGTAAGGCTCTCTCCAGCCAAGGCGTCCTCGTGGCGCAATGACCAGATGCTCAGAGAGGTTATGGATAACTGGCCGCCAATGTAGCCACAGCATGGGACATCACCTCACCTGGTTTCAACTCATCTTGCTCGCCTGCTCCTGAGGATCCAGCTCCCCCACAAGAGTTAGCTACAGGTTCCAGGGCCCAGCCCGCTCTCCCTTCACGTGAGCCAACACATTCACTCCCAGAAGGCGGCATACGGCGCAGGTTGCTTAGGGACATGTAAAATCTTTCTTATGCAGTGTTCTCTTGTGGTTTGAGGGCAGCAGACGCGCTGTTCTATCTTATGCTAATGACAGAGCTAAGATTTGTTTATATTGACTAGGTTTAGTTACGCAGGTAGCCGCCCTAGCCTGGCATACAGCATGTATGGGAGAAGGAAAGTTCAGTTTTTCAACCTTTATTGTTATTCCTCACAGAGTTTACAGAAGAAATTAATGTCACATGTCCTTTCGCGCACTCAGAAAATCCTCCTACACATGTTGAGCTGGGTGGTCCATGCTGCCTTCTTTTGTTTTGCATGCGGCTTTCTGTCTTTGCCCACTGCTCCGCATTCATCCGTCAGCAGCGTTTACCACAAACACCTCGGAGAGCGAGATTAAGCCATCCTGCAGGACATTGCTAAATCATGAACCAGCAGGAATTCCTGCAGTCCTAAACGAGTAAGTCTGCAAATGGCCCAGATACCCCCCCCCCCCCCTTGTAGTGACAGGACTGTCCTGACTAATCTTCCAGTACCAGCCCTAAAAAAAGGGAACATCTGTTTAAATTTAAAGTTTTCATTAGAGTTTAGAGTGCTAGTTCCTGGGCCTTGGAGCTACTGACACTTGTTCTCCTGTTCTCCTCTGCTTGCGTTGCCCGTAATGATCATTGCAATCTGTCAGGAAGTATGCAATCTATGTACGTGTTTGTCTTTACATCACGTCATTTGCTATATTGAAAGCGCTTTGAATGTGTCATTTTTGCATAAATAAGTGCTACTTCAACGTTGTCTTAAAGGATTCATTGACACGCTTTTTTAAGTCCCACATAAACCAATACTTGCATGCCCCTAGGCAAATAACTATATTGCTGTGGCAGCAACAAAGATTCAGGTTTTAAACAACATATTCAGTCCATACCTGTAGGGGTTAAGCAATGGATTTTGTCCGCCACCACCTGCGTTTAAATTGCTTTCAGAAGGCATGTCTTTGAAAAATGTGAACTTTTCCTTTTAAGTCAACCTTCCTGAATTTAATAACTTTCGTTGGTGCTTAAAAAAGTTTCAAATGTTCTGTTGATTGGTTGAACACATGTGCATTGGTTGATATTTCCCATACAGGCAATCATCCATTTAGTTGTTTTATAAAAAGTTGAAGTGTGTTTTTAAAATGTTTCATCCCATTTCACTAACAATCCTGACTTCATTTTCCTTTTACTGATGACTCTGCATGTGTAGCATGTGTACTATCCAACGTTCTACCTACACCCTGTACTTCTCTGTCTTCTTCTTCTTGTTTTTGTTTTTCCCTCCTACCTTCACATTGTACATAACCGGGTGCAGGCCAAAACGGCCCTGCTGCCCAAGGGGCGCCAGCAGAGACCGCGGAACAGAAACGTAAGTGTTTGCTGCTCCGGTCTGGGAGCGCTGCATGGCCGACACACACAGCGCTGATCTGAGTTCTGCTGCTGCCTGGAGTGGAGTGTACAGCTATCACTCAGATGTCATCCTGAATCACCCTTCTTCCATCCTGCAACTCTTTTCTTCATGCATCACGTTATGCTACCACTAACTGATTCAGAATGTGTGTGTGTGTGGAATTTATAATAATGGTGATGATTTGTTAGATAATGTAAACATTCAATTCAAATGCTACTCATTTCCAGATTTCTATTGTTTTTCAACTTTCCATCTTGATTATTTTCTGTAACTTCTGTGTTCAATCATTAATGAAACATTTTGAATAGTACACATATTCCTATTGTTGCCGAGTTTCATCAAAGATTGATACTACTCATATCTGTCCTAGCTTAGCTTAGCACAAAGAGCAGCAACCTGGAGAGAGATTGCCTGGCTCTCCAACATATCTAAAGCTCACTAATGAACACATTATATTTCCTTACTTGAATCGATTTACAAATGAAATTGGGATGTGTTGTTGTATCAATCTTTTTATCTCTGCAAGACAGCTACACATTTTTTAATAATGATATATTGTGCTGTAACAGGAATCTGCACTGAGTTTGCCTGCATGCTGTTGTTGTAATCATGGACAGCGGTGGCCTAAAGGTTGGGGGAAGCAAGCTTGTAGGATAAAGCCTTCTGCCACCTGCTTATTAGCAGCACTGAGGTGTGTTGGAGCTACGCCCTTAACTGCAGATGCTTCAGTGGAGCTGCTCAGTGGCCAGCAGATCAGACACTGGTTGTTCTGAACGGTTCCTCAGAGGGTGGAGTGTTTTCATCAGTGTGTAATAGATGCTCGCCTTGCATGGGTTTCATTTGAAATCTCACCGCTTCATCTACTTTTGATTTTGCTTGCTTCTTTTTAGGCTTGGACTGCCTTGATGAGATTACATTTGCTTTGTCATCATGTGAACCCGTAGCTGCATCATGGCACGTGCTCATTAGTGTTCGTCTCTCCACAGTCATCCTCACATGCAGGAGGAGACCAGGAGCTGGTTACACGCATGAAGAGCATGGAGCTGGAGAACCATACTCTGCACAAAGGTTCGTTCTGTTTTTTATAACGTCTTTCTGTGCTTTTGTATATTTGATGCAGAATATCCATTCTTACTTTTCCTATTGTGTTTGCTTGTTAGTGGTGGCTGAAATGAGAGCAGCCCTGCAGACGCTGGAGAACAGAGTGGCCACGCTGGAAAAGAGCCCAGCGGGCGTCCCAAGTGCTAAGGTAGATAACTTAGAATTACTAAATGCATATTTTCTCTGTAAAAGACAAAGCCTTGTCCAACTGAAACCATTTCAAATCAAATCTAATGTAATCCACATTGTACTTAAGGTATACTCAAACTATAAGTATGTTTTTTGATGTTCCTCTTTTTGGTTGCTTTGTCTTGTTGTTTATGATTAATATTGTTGTTTATATATATATATATATAATATAGTAAGGCTTAGGCTCCCTTCGTTCCCCTCACATATCTATTGATGCTCTTTATTGTATGATGTTTTCGTTGTTTGAACAAATGGAGATCAGGAAAGAGTTAATCTTATTTGAGAAAGCCTTCTGAAGAGCCCACCTTTACAGAAATGTTTCCATTGTTTTGACCAGGCTGCTCCAGTCCAGGCTACTCCAGTCAAACAGGTGCAAAATGGAGATGATGAAGACGAGGATGACGACATGGACTTGTTTGGCAGTGATGATGAGGATGACGAAGAAGCCGAGCGCCTTAAGCAGGAGCGCCTGGATGCCTATGCTGCCAAGAAGTCCAAGAAACCCGCCCTCATAGCCAAGTCCTCTCTGCTTTTAGACGTCAAGCCCGTACGTTTCCTTCTGACCTTCATCATGTGGCTGAAATCTGTGCTAGTTCCATTGCAGTTGTGTTCTTATAGAGATGTACTGTTTTGTTGTTTCAGAAAAGGTAAAAAAATGCGATACAATTGAGATGTTAATTAATAGTTTAAGCTAATTGCGACTTAAACTGCATATATATTTTTTGTAATATTCCAAATGAATCCCGATGCATGTTAACAGTTATGTTAACGTTTTGCTGCAAACTGAGTTGAATTGTCTTACCATGGTCAAATGAGTGTTCTGTGCTTTAACCCCCCTTCCCCACGTGCTCCCTCAGTGGGACGATGAGACGGACATGGCCAAGCTGGAGGAGTGTGTGCGCTCGGTGCAGATGGAAGGGCTCCTGTGGGGAGCGTCCAAACTGGTTCCCGTCGGATACGGCATCAAGAAGCTGCAGATCACCTGCGTGATCGAGGACGACAAAGTTGGCACAGACATGCTGGAGGAGGAGATCACCAAGTTTGAGGACTTTGTAAGTAAAACGCACACAGGGGTAACTCCTTCACCATTATTAGACTACTTCAGTTAACTTACCTCTCGGGGTATCCAGCCACGCTGAGTTATTAACTTGTGTGTTAAGACATTTTCTACACCCACACCAATATCACTGACTTTAATTGACTTTAATGTGTGGTGCTTACATCATGGGTAAAGTGCATAATGTACACCTCGACTTATTGCACTTTTCTTCCATTGCAGATCCAGAGTATAGACGTGGCTGCCTTCAATAAGATCTAGGCTCCACCAGTTGTTTACCTGCTCCACCAAAGTGTTGCTGCTGCTCCCTGCTTGCATGTTGATTAAAATATTAAGTTTTGAGCAAATTCCTGTCTCCGTTTGCTCTCAGTCCAACCTTAATATTTTGAGGTCCGTGCTATCCTGGTTTGTAGTCTTTTTTTGCAATAAAAAAATATATACGGTATTTTTAGACAAATTATGATATGCCTTTTAATAGACTATCACTATACTATGACTTTTTCACATTGTCATAATATTTCATGACTTGATATTATACACTACCAGTCAAAAGTTTGGACACTTTTTCATTCAAAGTTTTTTATTTTATTTACATTTTTTGTAGATTTATACTGAAGACATCAAAACTATAAAAGAATACATATGGAATTATCTAGTAAACAAAAAAAGTGTTAATAATCCAGAATATGATTTATATTTGGCTGGCTACTGCAGAATGCTGTGGTAGCCATGCTGGTTAAGTGTGCCTTGAATTCTGAATCAATCACCAACTATCTTTCATAGTTTTGATGTCTTCAGTATTAATCTACAAAGTAGAAACCTTTTTAAATAAACAAAACATTAAATGAGAAGGTGTCCAAACTTTTCACTGGTACTGTACAGTGTGTCCCCTATATACAAATAGCGGCTGCGCCCATCTCAGTGGGTCTCAAATATGTGTTTACAAATTATGTAACACATATTTCCAAGGCACTCCTTTATAATTATTAGGATAAATAAAAACAGGTTTGAAATCATTCCAATGTATACTATAGGACAGAAAACCAAAAATATTGTTTAAAGTTGGAGAGATACAAAAATATGCATAAATAAATGTTAAAATAAGATATGAATGAACAACAAAAATACATTTAATTGTTATTGGCTATGGTAGGTTATTGGTTATGTTCACATACTTATTTGATTATTATCAAATAGG